CCGAACTGGACCCGACGCCGTTCCCCCACCGGCCACGACGTATCCCCTGGGCTCCCACCCCAACTCCACCATCACCCCCCAATCCCCTGCAACTCTGGGAAGCTACAGACACCCAGACCTCAGCACTGTCAGGATCATCATGGCCCTGACACCAGGGACTGCGCTCTGCGAGTAGTCAGGACCCCACAAGTGCTGCTGTGGTGAACGTTTCTATCCCGGGCTGGGCGCTGTCACCGTAGTTAATGGCTGACCTCAAAGCTGCCCATTTGCCGGGGCGGGGAGGGGCACAGCGAGCATTCGGGACCAGATGGGGGCTGTCGCATCCCGATGGTATCAACCAGCTGCCCAAGCCCCATGCCCCTGCTGCAAAGACCCTGCCTATCTGTGCTCTGTGGTATCCGAAGAAGAAACGTCCACTCAGAGCCCTCCCTGGGAGAGAGGGCCCAGCTGCACTTCCTCAGTGGGAGATGTGCCACGGCAGCCCAGCCATCTTCAAAACCCACCCGAGCAAGCGCTGAGCACCCCTACAGGAGGGTCTGGGTCCTCTGCCTCCACGACACCAACCTCAGTGGTTTCTGAAACCTGCGGCCAAGAGTCCTGACTACCACAGGGTCCCGCGACTGCCGCTCCAGCCACACCGTGCACTCCCTGCGCCCTCACCCGATCACAACGGAGGAGCCCGCTGAGAGCTGTGGCCAGAAGGCAGCAGGCGGACGTCCAGGGCTTGGGAGGTGACATGGGGGTGTCCTCATGGCTTCTCAGGTGAGCCCTGACCCCAGAGAGAACACACACCCTTGAACAGGAACCACACCACGCGTGGCACACAAGCATTCCAGTAAACGGGTGCTGATGCCTCAGGTTCACATACCACCTGCCACACAGACTACACAACGGCTGCAGGCCTTGCTCTAGCTACACCGCAGTGGCCACACACCACGTCGTCCGCCTCACCCGCCGCGAGTCCAGAGGACAAAGCAGCCGCACAGAGGTGGCGGCCTGAGTGGCGAGACCCTAGCCTGGGCACAGCGACCCACCCCTGTTATCCTTTCTAGCACAGGAAGCAGGAGCACAGCTTCCAAGACAAGAGGACACAGAATGTACTTGAAGTCCACCAGGACTGGGCATCTCAGAGCTGTGGGTACTCCCGATAACCTGCTTTAAAAAAGTGAAAATTTTGAACAAATTCTGGAAAGATTAGAAACCTATCTGGCTCCACAGTTCTGCCCTACAACTCACTTCAGGTGACAAGTGCAAATTCCAAAAAGCTACAAAGACCAATGTTTTTTCCCTAAGACATGTGATAGCGAAACCTGATCTATTACAAACTCACGTGGGGCAACACCTGACATGAAGTGCGGTGAAGCTGTCAGAAGACTTAACTATCCCACAGAGAGGATACTCACTCATTCAGTGACAAACACATTCATGCATTTGACCGTACAACACTTCCTCAAGTCCCGGGGCAGTATCCCAGGACACACAGGAACGCACTGTTTTTCTAAGTTCTGAAGAACTCTGACACACAGGTAGGTACCCAAGGGTTTTGGGTTTGGGCCCTTGCTCATGCTTATACAAGCACCTTGAATTCCCAGTCTACGAGCTTTGGAGGCTGTGAACCACCGGTGAAGTTTAAGAGGAGGAAGTCCACAGCTCACAGCCGCACTGTGACTGTGGCTCCTGACCTGCCTAGACAGCCAGGGGAGCGCACTCTGTGGCACAACCACAGCAGCTGCCCCGTTTCCTTGTTCTTCATTCTAGGTGTTAAGCCACGGGCATGAGCTTCCTTCTTTCCATGACCCGCTTCCCCTCCCACTCTCCTACCCCTGGCCTGCCCCTGCACCTGGCAGGGGTTCATTCTCACCCCTTGCACCTCAGCTGGGCCCCTGCAGTGAGCTGTCTTTTTAGAGCATGTGTCTTACTTTAGGTTCCACAAGGCAGAAACCATGTACTCTCCACTATAAACTTTCGGAAGAAACAAAATACTTGCCTGCTGTCTTCAGAATAAATGGACTGATCTGGGGAAACTCTCGCTCTAGCAGATATGCCAAAATATCACACTTCATAATGTTACTAGAGATACGGCCCCACCACACCCCCATTCCCAAAAGAGCCTAAAATTTCTTCACCAAATCAACCCAAATCTCTTTGCTTCTGACCCTGGAGAAAAAGTGTGTGATGATGCTAAGGCCAGAGTAGTGCCTCAGGCCTTCAGGAGACGGGCATCAAAATGGTCAGCTGGTTGAGCTCAAATGGCAGCAGGGGTGCCCGCCGTTGACAGGGTGAGCCTACAGGTCTGAGAGCCACCAGAGACAGGCTTGGTCGTTCACTCTAGCGCTCCCCCGCCCCATCCTAACACAGGGGATATAGTTCTGTTTCAGCACCAGCCCCAAAGCCGTCTGTATTTAGCTGGCGAGCGCTACAGCTAGCGGAATCCAACATACCCTTGTACGCGCCACTGGACAACAAAGAAAAACCCAGAGGAGAAAACAGGACCGCGGCAACACTGGTGATAAATTCTAGTGCGAGGAAGGGAAGGGAGAGGGCGTTCAGGAAGCTAGAAACAGCAGCAGAAACACAGCCGACTAAAGCTCTACCCGGAAATTCCTCCCCGACGGACCAGCCCAACCTGCAATGTTCGGTACAGATAACAGCTGTTAGCTCAGCTCTCCGTAAGTTCCATGGACTCACAGACAGACGTTCGAGGCAAGGGGAACGCTCGGATGGTAAGACGGGAAAGCCTGGTTAAAGGACACTGCGCCGGCTGTCCAACGCTCCAGGAGAGCGGAACTGCAATCACCCACGCCCAAGTTCCCGGCACCTGAGGAGAGCCAGCCCTACCTCTGTCCAGAGGTCCAGTCGCGTCCCACTCCCCTACTACTGCCCTAGATGCGAGGGAAGGGCCGTGG